CCACGATACGAACAAAAACTCACCATACGACGTTACATTAGTTCGCATTTTTCATTTGTTTTTCTTACTACAGTTATTTTTTTAAATGTATTACTTGGCTTTAATTTGAGTATGTTTTTCGCGTTGGAACGAATTATTTGGTTTTACATGTAATCGTATGGGAAAAGTTGATTCACCTTACGACATTTTCATGATACGATCTCAGTTTCGGAACGGATTAATTTCGTATCCTGAGGTACCACTGTATTAATAATTCATTAGTACAATTTTTAAGAAGAAATTTGATTTGTTTTAATGTTAAAACTGAAAATAATATACAGTAAAAGTAAATAATTCTATAATATTTCAAGGTGAACAACTGGTTTTAAAATATGTTTTACTTTTTAAATTAATATAAATTAAGCGCTAAATCATACAGAACTAAAATGTTTGCGAGAATTTCGCTTCATTATAATTATAATTTATTGCGTTACGTTTTAACATTCTAAGAATAAATATAATTTAATTTAAATTCAATCTTTTACTACTGCGAATTAGCTTTAAACTTGCATTTATTTTGCAATCATAAAACTGTATTTCTAGAATTATGAATAAATATGTATTATAATTTATTTTGCCAATTTATTATTTTTTATAAAACTGTTCATATACTATATTTTTACAGTTTCACATATTTTATTTTATTTATTAACACATATTCCTATTATTCATTAAAATTTGAAAATTTACAGAAATATAGTTACCTTTCTACACAAATATTTGATAAACAAAGATTTCAACACTAATATCTCTTATAGTATTTTATTATCCAGATTTTCCAAAATAAGTGAAGAAATATTTATTTATGACATATGAAAATAAATATTAAATTTTAACTGATTAACAGCCATATTTACAACCAAGAATCAATGTTATTTAGAAGTTAACCAATTTCTATTCACTTTACTTTTAGTAGTTTGCTGAAGTAGAGTTTTGAATTTCAATATATGTTTAATAAATTATGTAATTAAGAACAACTATTATTGCAATTAACATTTAAAAAACTGAGAAGCTCAAATATTAAAAACAGAATTTCGAAATATAAAATAATACGTGGAAGCGCATTATTTATTTTCACTTATCTTTGTTATCTCGAATGACAAAAGTCAAATTACATATTTTTTATTTACTTGGGATTTCTCCATCGAATTAAAATGTCCAAAAACAGATTTCAGGTAATTGTGTAATAATTCTCAATATGTGACTATGTGATAAATAAACATGTGACTACGTATACTTTCGTTTTGGATGTGTATATAAAGGAGTTTTTTCGAGAAGTAATTATTGGTGTAGACCATACAATACATTGGGTAAGTCTATACAGATCTAAATTTTGCTAAATATTTCTATTCATTTATTATTAATATTAAAGCTTTAATAAAAAAATTATTTTAGATAATAACGATGAAAGCGAGTTTGTTGTTCGTTTTCTTCTTTCTGATCTGCTACAATGGTAAGTTAATGTTTAATTATATTTAATATCATTAACTTTTGGAATCGTTTGAAAAAGAATTAAAAGACATCCCAATCTTGGACTTACAAAAACCACGAAAATTTTACAATAAATATAAAATATTTTGAACAATATGGACAGGTTTATTCTTTCTTTTATTATAAAATATTTATCACAATAACATTACATATTATTAATTATTTTGTTGTTTAAATATTTTTGTTTGTATAGCTTAATTTAAATAATTATTATTCACTAATTCGGGCAGGACCTGAAGGAGGATTTCAGGTGATATTCCTTGACATGTACTTTTGTTCTGATCATGTCAATAATTATTATTATTAATATAAGAACACGAAATGTGCATTAGTTTATTTGAGTAATATCTATTTGCTTATAATAATAAAAATATAATTAATCGAAATTTTTATTAACTCTTTATCCTTTTAGCATTAGAAACGGTGCAAGGTCATCATGATAGATTCTGTCCTCAAGACAAAGACGGTTGTAACAATTCCTGTGTTAATGACCATGGAGCTGGCTGTGGTTACTGCACAGGATACCAAAAATTATCTTGCTTATGTTTGGAAAATCCGGGTGATTGTAAAAGATCATAATTTTAGTATAAAGCTGAAATACTAATGTTAAATAAAATGTTTTGTAATTCATTATTTTTAACGACAAGATGTATTTGTTCTTCAGCTATCAGTTTCGGATCATAATAATAAAGTGTTTTACTTTCGTTAACTCTTTCTTTTTATTTATTTACTTATTATATAGCGTTTAAAAGTATGACGTAAAGAGTACTACCGGTTAACTGTATGAATTCCGGTTCATCACAAAATTCAACAAAAATACCTGTTCAAATTTTGAATTCTGTTGTGCTGATACCTATTGACAAAATTAAAAACAATCAACAATTTTTCACTTTAAATATTTTGAGTGGGGCTAATTAAATTTTCTTAAATATTTAGCTATTGATAGCATACATAATTATCATTCTGCTTTAATTTTACTTTAATTTACTTTTTGATCGAATGCATGTTTTATCGGCGAATAAACTTAGGTGTTGACAGAGAAAATAATAAACTTGCTAATTCAGTTTGTCTTCCGTCTTTATAAATTTTATGCAGAAATATACGACTTACGAAAAATTATGCCTTTAAAGAGTACTTTAATCAATATGCAAAATATGCATTTTATTCATTTTGGTCGTTTAGTTATCATCATTAATTTAACAAATATTAAATAAAAATTTTAGTATCGTAACAAGCTGTTGTGTATTCTGATTATTGCATTAACTGTTAAGTTTTTTTAAATCTTTTACTAAAAAAAAGTAAAAATTTGAAGATTTTACATAAAAGAGATGCCTTCTTTATACGCTATCTAACACCAAAACTACATTAAAACATCGGCGACGGCATCAATTTTTTATATTGAAGCTATTCAGCCACTTTCAATATACAAAATATCAAAATGTCATCTTGCCGATTGTGGTTTTGATGTTTCGTTTTTGTCAAAGAAAATTACCCAATGGACATTTAGTTTATGCTTTGACTTGTTTCATTCAAATATTAAATTAAAGAAATCAAGAAACCTTTTAATTATTTTAAATTAAACATAATAGACTTACTTTAAAATATTTAAGATTTATTCTGTGTATTTCTGTTTCGGGTCATTAAACAAAAGCAATCTGTAAGTGTTGAAATTAGAAAATTGTTACGTTGTTATTGACTTACTACTGTATATAGTTAGGCCTATAATGGTTACATCTGGCTACAGACTTTTTTATGTCATTATTTAGCATATGTAATGTATTAAGTGTTATATGTAATCTAGAGATAATTTAGAGAAAATAGGAGGACGCACTGTACAGTACATAGGTTAAATGTACTGTACATGTTACGCCATTTTAAATAAGGAAATCGAACATCCGCGGAGTTTGAAATCGGCGGGAAGTTTTGGAAATAATCTCCCGCAGATACAAAGAGATAATTGCATTAATTTTTAATATCATAGTTACAATTAATAGTCAATTTTTTGCATAATAAATTGATTTAATCAGGAGCAGAATTTNACAACAGATTAGGGGAGAATGAGGCAACAGGAAAATACATCTACTGTGTATAGCTCAAATACTTGCAAAAAAGCATAAACGACTGAAATTTTATCATCTACACTTGTTAAGGTGCTCTCAAAAAAACAGAAAAAGAGATTTAAAGGAGCGCGTTAAAAGTGAAAGGAAAAAGTAGAATAAAGCGAAAGAAAATATTAAATATGTGAGTCAAAATCAAAAATCCACTTAGAGGTAGATTCTATTTGTATGCAAAAAATTATTCAAACAGTTAAGCAATTTCAGAGGAGTTAACCGTCATATAAACGTCAAAGTCATCCTTAATTAAGTAAACTTCTCATCGCTGTGCTC